CTGCTGCTTAACTGGAGGAAACAACAGAGCAGTAAATCCTTTCATGCATTCGTTGCTTAAACATGATGTTGTTTAAGGCTATTAATTATCTCTGAGCCTTGTATTAAATTTGGACAACATTAAACTTGGAGAATACAAAAAGAGGTGTGCACAGTGGTTGGTATATCTAACTAAAAACTAGGTGTGAACAAAAAAATGTAAACAGTAGACTTTAGAAAATAACAAAAACTAACTGAAATTATCGTGTGTACTTGTTTGTCACCACAATAATGCAGAAGGAGGATACAGTTTTCCATATTTTGTTGAAACTGAATTGTCTACATGACTGCGTTTGCACTGGAATACATTTTTGCCCCTAACAAATACACCCCTTATCATAATAAAAATCAAAAAATACATTTAAAACTAAAAATGAAACTCATACTAAAATCAAATTTACACTTTACACACCCTAATTTAAAATGAGAATCTCCCTTCTGGAAAGTATGTGAAAGTAAAGGGTTTTTAATTTGATTTATTTCAAACCAAAATACATAAAAATATCAAGATCTAAAAATAGATGTATGAAGTGCACCCTGTCTTCACCCCCTGGCGATCCTACAGAGGACAAAGCAGTGTATAGAAAATACATCTATATGGTAAACATCTTTTAGAATCCATCCATCCAGTAATTCTACTTACTTTATCCTGTAGATGGTGACAGAACAGACAACCATGCATACTCACACTCCTACATCTATTTTGGAATCATCAATTTCCACCATGCATGTCTTTGCACAATTGTAGGAAGTCTAAAAAGTGCACAGTTGCACCCTCTGTTGAATGTTTAAACTTAACTTGACTTTAAGTTGGCTCAAATAAAACAGTTCTGAGAAGAAGTGGATTCAGAATATATTGTCCACACAATTACAACTACATTCACAGCTTCCCATGCTAGGTTTATATCCAGATAACTGTAACATTAAAATGAGACAACAAATCTTTGTTTTGCTCTTTGGCCCAAGGAGTCATAGCTCTATTACAGGAAAAGGTCGGTAGGCC